CAACCAGCTCGATATAAGAAGAAATCAATTGTCTTTCTAGAGTAAAATTCCTCCCTACACAGGAGGCTGAAGCAGCCTAACATACTCAAATACAAACCTTAAATCCACTCATAATCATCAGCATTATCTAAATGTCTCTGAAGCATTTCAAATCCACTTCATTCTGAATTGCCATTAATATTGCAGCAGGCAATATTATTAAGATTGGTGAAAATGAAGTATTTTAATGTAACACATTATAAACCAAGCCTGCAATGAATCTCAGGTACCTCTTGAGCTTTTCTGCAACCAGTCTGTCTGGAGTCAGGTTTGTGCATCCTAGGACCAGTGACTGACTGCCACTAAATGTGGCATCCACAGCCACCTCAGGAGGTTGATTTAATGTGAATGCAGCATGAAAAGTCAGGTTATCTTTCGATTCTTTTATTAAATAAAACTCATCCTTATTGAATAAAGCTGCTTTTATTAACATCTGAAACATTGGTTGGTATCACAAAGCCTGCCAGTCCCAGGGAAATAATAATAGAAAAGACAAGTAAAAAATGAAACATTACAGGGAAATATTAGAAGCCAAATCACATTAAGCCAGTACTGCAGCTGACAAATAAAACATGGGTCTAGCTATAGACTTTTGTTTTGGGTGTTTTCAGTGTTGTGTTTTTTTGTTTTTTTTTTTTTAAACAGAACTTGTTTTTCTAAAAGAAGCCAGAACTGGGCTTCTCCCAGAAGTATGCTGGCAAGAAATAGAATGCAATGTGCAACTCAGTTTCCGCTTCCCTCACATAACATCTGAAAAGGCAGTGAGTTCAGTGTAGCCGAGGCTAAGAACAAGAACTTTGCCTTTATGGAAACATTTTGAACACTAAGCTGGAAAGATTTCTTCTATCTCTTGGATTTTCAAGTTAACCTGTTTTGATTTCTGCATATAGACAGCACCTGAGAGAAATACTTGTACCGACCATACTGGTACTTTATGATCACCTAAGTAGCAGCCATCTGAAATCAGCATGCAGTGTGTTTTCTATACATACCAATTGCACAGCAAGAGCAGCAGGTGCCTGGGAGGAGTCTGCCCACAAGTATTGTCAGTGCAGTTACTTTGAGAAAAACCACATGTCCCTCATCATCACCATCAAAATCTGTCAACATGAATTGAAATTCGATTCTGAACTCCCATCTAGGCACCATAAGGGAGGGTTGGAGGAGAGAAATATAGCTGAAATCAAATATAATAACCTTCAATTTTAATCTCATGTACAATACCATTTTCCATCCCTACATTATCTATGTTCCAGAGTAACGATACAAAGTAAGTAGTGCTGAAAGACAAGTTGTTGCACTCCTCAGCTTCTCATTTTCCATGTTTCTATTTATACTGGGTTCACAGCACACTTCAATGTCAGTTCAATCTGCACACAAATATCGTCAAAAACGGCCCGCAGCATTCTGAAGATGGAACACACCCAACGAGCTCAGCTGCCTGGTTTTTTGTGCAGCACTGCTCCCACTGAAGCCTGTGGATGTACAAGGGAAGATAAAAGGAAGGAGTATGGCTTCCTGTACAGCTGCAGTTCACAAGGATGCAATCCACTGAAGTCATAATGAATTATTTCAGCATATTCAACATATTCTGCTATTAAGTATCATCACAAAAATCAGTGAAACAGCAGAGAGAGAGTTTGGCCATAGCAAGACAAAAAAATTCTATAATATAAGAATCCATGGGTTCAAAAGGATTCAAAGAATACTACACTATGCCAAACTAAACCTTCAGGGGTTTGGTTTCTAGGAGATTTCCCCCTCCTCCCCCCCAGCCTTCCCATAACAGGTGATGGGCATCACTGTGAACAGAGCATCCACAGCCTGTACAGAGCACTCTTCAGGGCATACAAGGTAATCTTGCCCAACACATTTGCCAAGCCATGCTTTTATAAAGGGAAAAAAAAATTAGAACAGCAGCTATGTGGCCTGAGATCTCATTGGAAAGAGACTTGCAGGAAAATTTCAGCCCAGGATGACAAAGAACATGGAAAGCTCATCAGAACACAGGCTGTAAGTCACTGTAATATTCTTGGTTTTGCTGCTCTCAACTTAGCTGAAATTTGAAATGAATATTTTAATTTGACAACATATATTCATAATATAACAGGTTCCTTAGTCTTAAGTCTCACAACATACATCCTATATATATATATATATATTTAGGAGATTTAAGTATATAATAAACTCATACCAAGCATGGAATTTGGTGTTTACAGTACTACAATTTTTGTTCTAGCTGAACAAAGCTGATGAGAGATTGTTCCCTTTAGCAAGGGAACAAATGCCCACATTTCAAACCTATTTATATAAGTGTGAGTTTCCACATCAGCTGGGCCTGGCTACATCTTAAATGAAAGTTTCAGGGGAATCTGTTTCACAGGTGACACCAAATAGCAACAAGCCCAGCTGACCGAGGGCAAGCACTAACTCCCTCCAACTGGTTCAAAAACCTCCTAGTCAATGACAAAGCTGCAAAATGTACCTGCGTCCCTAATTATAATTATATAGCCTTATAACCTCTGTCCCCCTCTCTCTATAGAGATGTGTATACATGCACGTTTATATTTTAAGGCTGAAAAACTTATTAAAAAGCATGGATTATATCATCAGTGACAAATTGTTCTGATAAGAACACGAAGCTCTTTATTGAAAACAACATTTCACTTCTCAGGCTGGAGCTATTTTCTTTGTATACAAGATAAAAGTGAAGCAAAACTGCAATAGAATTTTCAAGTCTTCAACATCATTACCTGAAACTGTGCAGTGAGAAGGTGTGTTGCCATGGTTCTGAGTAATCAGCAACAGACCTGTGCACAATAGGCAGCTGATTGCTGTTTCAGGTTAGAAGATTCTGTATCTCTTTAAGAAAACTTTGTTATCATGTCATAAATTAGAGTTTTTCTATTAGTAACAGAAAGGCAGCAAAGAAACATGCCCTGTAGCAGTAAAAAGTATGCCCTGTTGTTTATTTCTCATCTTTTTCAATGGGGGCAGAGGGAGAATCAACCTCACACACTGTCTATTTCATGCTGTAAATCTCTAGAGCACTCTGGTCTTTTCACAGCATACTAAGGCATAAAAGTGCAGATAGAGTCTGTTACCTAAGACAGACATAGACAATTACATTAAAGATAGAAGATATCTGTATTACTGAAGAGCAGGAAGTCCCAGCAGTCATACAGCAGCATGTAGATATCTGAAGTGCAAAATAAATAACACAGAAGATGCCAGTAATTCTAACAGGATCTTCTGGATCCAGTTTCAAGAAATATCAGATTTAGTGAGGCTTCATAACATCCAGAAAAAAAAAAAAAAAAACTCACCCACCAGTTTCTACAGCATTTTCTTTCTACCTAAGAGACCTCCTATCCAAGCTCAGTTTTCTGCCTGTTTATCTTTCAAAGGAGACATAAGTAACATTTAAGAACAAATTCATATCTGAGTGTTATAGCTGCTGAGATGACAAAGAAAGCACTGAACTCTGTGGGACTGCAATGCCATTCATACTCCAGTATTTCAGTAAGCTGCCATCGCAGTCAAACACTGTTATTGCAGTGTTAAAGCTGCAAACTGAAACACATTCACCAAAAAAAAAAAAAAAGATGAAAAACTTCAGATAGGCTAACAATGCAGTAAGGATATGAAGTACTGATATTGCTTATAATGAAGTACATGATTTACAGTCTAGCTGGGCAATCAAAAGCTTCTTGTGTGCGAAGTGGAAGCAGTCTCAGAGTTTCAACTCCTGCTGCTAATGCATTTCCAATCACAACTTTTAAACTGTGCTCATGTAGGCACTGCAGTTAAGTTACATTGGAGAAGAGTTATTTTGTTCCCTTCTTTCTCAACCTGTTCTAAAGGAAGAAAGAGATGTGTTTTGTTTGTTTTATAGGGAACCACCACAGAAATAGACGGCTGTGTATTTTGCCTTCTGTCAGTTCAGTTTTGGGTACAAAGTAATGAGTAAAAATAACTCACTTCATCAAAAAGGAAAGTGTTGACATCTTAAAGTATGAAAAGGTGTTGCAAGTAAGCAACACTTAATTTGATCAGTGAGCTGTCTCTGAGCAGAACTCCTTATCAGTATGTTTGCAAACTCACAGATTAAATGCATATGCTATTATTCCTCAATGAAGACTGAGCACATGGGAGCTTTCAATTTTGTTTCCCTGCCAGGATATAGCTGTTAATGTACAATGCCTTCTCAGTAGAAACGTACATTTGTCCCAACTTACATTACACAGGGACGCTCATCTAAAGTAACTATTGCAAAAATGCAGTCACCTTTTGGCCGAGGCCACCACTGAAAAGTTCAAAAGAGGCACACACAAATGAGTACATTGTATACATGCTGGTTTTCTTTACTGTAAACACACTTGAGGGCAACAAGATACCACTGAGTCCTCCGAAGTCGTGCTGTCAGGACATTCAAACTCTATTCAATGTGCAGAATACCAGGCGCCTGCTTCAGGCTCACAGCACAGCTTTTAAACATTTCAGCAAGCACATATTTCTCCGGTTCAGTAAAACACTGCCAAGCCTGAGATACGGGATTTTTAATTTGAAAAATTACACAGGTGATAACAGCGAACTCCAGCAGCCCATGCCCCCAAAGGTTTCAAATTTCAACAAAACCCTTCACAATCCAAAACTGAGTTACCAGCCCATGTGATTATCAGCATCTGCAGGAGCAAAAATGTACCCTGCAGGTAACAAATGTCCCAATACAGGGGTACCATATTAAAAAAAAAAAAAAAAAAAGGAAAAAATCTTGCCACTTAGGATTTCTCACCAAGATATCTTTGTTTTTTTCACTAACACTTGACTTGTCCCAAATCCTCCAATCATTAACTGTCAGTATCAACATTCAAGGCATCACAGAGAGGGGGGGCAGAATCTGCATATAGAAAATAAACAAGAAACAAGATGCAACAAGACAGACAGAGGTGGAGCCTTACCTTTGGAAAAAAGTGCTGCCAGGCTCAAGAGGAGAGGTGACAACAGATGCCCCATATTGCTAATCCCAGAAGTGCACATCCTAGGGTTTGTGGGAAGTTAGGGCTCAGTTTCACACACTTCCCAGTCAAAATAAAAATCAGTCCGCTGGAGAAGCTGCATTTTCAGAAAAGGTCATCTTGAGCACAAAAAAACATTTCCTTCGGAGAGAGGACTGACTTCTTTGCCTCCAACCCTCCCCTATCCTCCCTCCTAGCTTCAAGACAGATGACGCCGTAAAAGCAAAACCCGCTCCTTTCAACGGAGAAATAGGAACCGCTCGGCTCGCAGCCCGGAGCGGTGCCGCTGCACCAAAGTTTACCTCTGGCTGCTGCTGATCAGCCCAGAGATCATCCGAACACGGAGGCAGGTTTGCTGTTGTTCTCTCGCGTTTTTTGTTTGTTTTTGTTGTTTTTTTTTCTCCTCCCCTCTCCTGAAGTTCTGTTTCCTCATAGACTTGTCTGACTTTCTGCACGAGAGGGAGGGGGCGAACGCGAATCCCCTCCGAAGGCCATGGCCGCGGACGGCTCAGTGCGCTCGGGGCCGGCGGGCGCAGCGGCCGGCGGGGAGCTGCCGCCCCAGCGGATGCAGCGCGGCTGGAGCCCGGCCCGTGCCGCCCGCCCCGGCCCTCCCGCCCGCCCGCCTCCGCCGGCCCCGGCCCATCCTACGCGAGCCGCGCTGCTATTGACCGAGGCAGAGATTTAAGTCGGGAAGCGTCGCGAAAATAGCCAGAGAAAAAAAAAAAAAAGACGAGGCAAACAAATAGATAAATAAGCCCACCGCCCAAGCCCCGCCTCGCACCGGGCAGCCCGGCAGCCCCAATCCGCGGGCAGCGGGGCGCGGAGCGGGGCGGAACGGGGCGGAGCGGGGCCGCCTGGCCCGGCCCCGGCCCCCGGGGAACGGAGAGCCGAGAGCCGCCGCCCCCGCCGCCCCCTGCCCAGCGACCGGGGCTCCACCCGCCCGGAGCCGAGCCGCAGGAGGCAGCCCCAGCCGGGCGCCTGGAACTGCCGCGATGCTGCCGGCACCCGAACGACCCCGCGGCTGGGCTGCCGGAGCCGGCCGAGCACGTTGCTGTGGCACGGTGCGCTGCCGCACGTGGTTGGGTTTAGAGCTCTCTCTCGCGTTTTGAGCTCTCCCTCGTCTACCGAATCTGTCGTGAGCCGAACGAAACGCGGAGAGAGAATGGGAAAATAACGTGAAGACTCTGAAGTGCGCAATAGCTATTGCAAGAACAGCAGAAACAATGCATACGGTCATCTAAATAGTATTCGCAAAATCACGAGGAGATAAGTAACTGCTCTGAGGTTTCCCTTTGCAGGAGATAGGAGTGCTAGAACAGTTCTGCTAAGCCAAACCTTTAACTGAGCTTAACAATGAGATTTGCATTATGCTTGGCAGATAGAAAAGCAGCAAAACCCAATTTACTGCAGCCCACTCTAAACAAGATAAAAATGTAGCTACAAGAACTTATAACCACTTTGTCCCTTCATGGAATACATGCTAGGGAATACAAATATTTTTCTGCAGTAACATCTGCTCTGCTGAAAGCTTTAAGGCAGGTCATTCAAAATAAACTTTGAGAGTACATACTTTGCCATCACTTAAAATGCACAATCAAACACACAATGAGAAAATGCTGTATTTAGGTGACAGTGCAGACCCATTCTGTAAGCTAATGTCAGTTTCAGAAGTAGCACCAATCCTCGAGAGGTACCCAGAACTAAATGAAACAAATCTCTGGAAATGGCATTGACACCAAAGCAGACCATCTCTGAACATGAGCTCTCTGAAAAAAGACAGAAAATGCAATTGACACAACCTACAGCCAAAAACCTTACAGTGTCATCCAACGTAAAGATAATTGATTTATAGTAATTCTCCTATCCAAGATAAAGAAATCATCTTTTGGGGTGGAAGTCAATGCCCAACTTGATTCAGTATGCAGGTGAAGTGTGGTAGCATAACCTACCAGTCCATCTGCTTTCTGAGGAATAAAAAGCTTCACGTATTCTGCAAAAAAAAAAAAAAAAAAAAACACGCAGAGGAAGAGTTTTCTCTCCAGCTGTGTGCCATGGCAATGAGTTTGTTACCAACTTTTCTTTAAGGAAAAAAATCTGCTGGACTAAAAAAAAAAAGATAGTTTTCTCCTTACAGTTTCTGTCTCTACAGCCAGCACATGGCATTTGGTGTTCATACAACACTAGGGGATAGTTTGTCCTACTGCCTTCCAGTGACAGAGGTAACAGAGAGGACAAAGAACTGCAGAAGCAGTTATAGAATTGCAGAGAGAAAAGAAGTTTCAGTACATACTATACTGCAAGATCAAATTATTCTTGTTGTTCTGCAACACCATCAGTGAGCCAGCAAAGCTGGAAGCACTATTTAAATTTCCAGCAAAAACATTGGAATCCAGAGAACCAAATCCAGAATGTTACTTACCACACAGATTTATTTCTAAATTCGGTTTCATAAAATAAATTCAACCTATTATTTATTTCGCTAATGTTTGTAAAAGTCACTTTAAAAGGTCAGTAACTAATTATTCAATTCTATGCCTCACTAGCCTTTTCACTTCAAAGCGCTCTTCAGACATTTAACTTTTAGTAGGAAGTAATGCAGCGTCCTGTCAACACCCTCCTCCTCCTCCACTCTCTCATTATCCCCATTAACCAGCTCCATGCCACAACCCTTCCCAAGGCTACCTTAATTATGAGCATTCTGTTGCCTCCAGACGCTAAAGACACAAGAAGGCAACTCTCATGCAATCACCCTGCACTCCCTGTGTAGTGAATGTCCTCCCTTTGCTTCAGTGGATGCTTTACCAAAGGGGCAGCTAAAGGTTAGGCCACTTGCAAAGTTCCACTTTGTGTCCCAATTCTGATGTCTCACTATAAGCACAGGTGACAACACTTGAACAATACAAACTCCAACCTGGGCATCTGATGCACAATACAAACCCCAATCTGGGCATCTGATGCTTCGTGATCAGTGATGGAAAACTTTCCTAGACATTTTTCATGGGAGAAAATATCAATTCCCACTATTCAGTAATGAGAAAAACTCTTGTTTTATTAGCAATATGCAAGGCACACATGCCTAAAATTTTCTAGGCAATTAGCACAGCTAATTGTAAAGGGAAAACAGGCTTTAGGAAAACAAGACAATGAATAGTCTTACAGAAGTGCATTTCCACAACCACGACCAGAAAAGCAGAAAAATCTATATCTGACAAAGTAATGGGAAAATCCATTGTTACTCTGAGACTTCCTGTTTCATCGTCAATGCAATATATCAATGGATAGATACAGTCTGCTTTATGTAATTAAAATTACTAATTCTTCTAATCAGTTCATTGATTCACCTCCTTTGTTCTGTGTGGTTGTGTTTTTTTTTCTACAAAACAGAACTGCAGGGGTTGGAAGAGACCTCAAGAGACCACTGAGTCCAACCCCCTACAACAGATCACACAGGTTGGCATCCAGATGAGTCTTGAATATCTCCAAACAAGGAGACTCCACAGTCTCTCTGGGCAGCCTGTTCCAGTGCTCTAACAATAACGTTCCCTCACTAACAGGATGGAAGCACAAGTCTAGGAGAGGTCCTATTAACACAGCAAAGAGCAGACTAAAGAACAGAACATAGCCAGGTAGACTGCAAAAAAATATTTCTCAGCCCATTCTTTTTTCACTCCTACGTATTTGCACATCAGTGGAGAATTTTGCTCAGTATTTAAGTGTTTTAGAAGCAGAAAAATATAAATATATATTTATGTAAAACATATATATAAAGATGTGGGACCAGAACACGTCCATGATCTAAGAACAAATCCTTTTAAAAGCCAATTCTATTCTAATAATTCTCTGTCCACAGAGCTGGAATATTAGGGCATGTTAGATGGAGCAGGAGCCTTCTAAACAGAGCAGTTACACACATTTCTCCAAAAATACTCTTCACTTTCCATTAAGATGAGAGAAAAATTCTCTGCACTGAAGCCCCTGTATACTTTACAATTGATTTTTAGAAACAGATTTTTATTCCTCCCTCTTACTCCCGCAATTGCTTGAAGAGTGCACAGAGGACCTTGAAATGGATTATTTGGGCTTGTTATTGCACAACATTCAAAATAAAGAGCAATTAGAATTATAGACTCAGAAGATGAAAAGGAATCAGCATGATCAGTTTGACCTCCTGGCAATTTTAAACAATTTAATGTGTTGTCTTGAAAACATTTAATAGTCATGATGCAGTAACTGTACTGTGACTGCTGCTCATAAAACAAAACACAAGTTTCTCCACTTATGGAAGTTGCTATTTTATGCATCTATTGCTCATTTCTTCATCACATCTACCTGTTTTCTCTTCTCTCTGCTTAGGTTATACAGAGCATTTTGTGGACTTCCTTTTGTCACATGTGCACACTGCATCTTGGCCAGCTGAGTCACAGGCAGCAGCTGAGGGCTCTTTGTGATGCTCCCACATGAATAATATGAAAATCAGATTGTGATAATGGAAGACACCACAAAGACCAAACTGAATCACACTCTTCAGTTTTATATTAATGTCTGGATCTTACTCCCTTCTGACATTAACCAGCACTTAGATTTTTGTTTCAGTGAAAGCAGGATGAGACATTAAATGTTTAATGCATTTAAAACTAATTTTCATCTGTTCACTCATACAACACAAGAAAATAAAAAAAAATGAAATCACTTTCTTTGCTTACAGTGCTTTTATTATATGAGAGTCAGATTCAGTTCAAAATCTTTGCCAGGCTCAAAAATATATTTGACAGCTTGTAGTTCTACTGTCAATGGTAATACCCATTGGAGTGCCTATCTCTTTAATGATCAAACACTAACCTTCTTGGTGAATAGCATTCCTATCAGGCTACTTTATGTTGCTGGGCTTGCTGTCAGTTCACAGTAGCTGAAAAAGTAGATGATGTCAGTCAGTTTGCACTCTTTTACTTGTTTCCAATGAGAACTCAGGAATAGCTTGGTTCCAAATGAATTCTACAAGTGACAAAGAACCTTATCACAACAGTCTGGCTGTTATCAGTCCAATCAGCAGCAGTCTGATAGACAAAGAGTGTATCTGGAGTCTTTCTTTTAATTAATGAACTAATATAGTAACCTGCTTCATCTGACAACAGGATTTTAAAAGCAGCTTTGGCTGCAAGTTACAATACTCACAGCACAATGAAATGCAGATTTACATGCACAAAATCTTGTAAGACACAGAGGCCAACTCAAATAAAATCTCAATAAACAGGCTAACCAGTAAGTGCACACATCAGGCAGAAAATCACTACAGGAAGAAACACATAATGAGGAAATTAATAGGCACAATGAAAACCCCATCTGCCTGGTTGTATCCAACTCAGGTCTCCATAGCAGTGAGATGCTATGCACTAGTATGAGCGCTTTGGAAGTTACAACAGATGAAACAACCTACAAGACAAATGTGTGCCAGTGCTAACATGGACAGTGTCCAGTCTGTAACCTCATAATATTTTCAGTGGTGTAACTTTCAAAAAGAGCAGTGGCTCATAGCAGCAGAACATGAGACAGTAGAACCGAGGATGTTACCATGACTGTTC